TTCAGTGTCGGGAGACTATGTTTTTCTAGATATTTGTCCATTTTTCCTAGATTGTCCAGTTTGTTGGTGTATAATTGTTCATAGTATGTTTTGATGATTTTTTGTATTTCTATGGTGTCAGTTGCTACTGCTCCTCTTTTGTTTCTGGTTTTGTTTCTTTTCAAAGAACCAACTCTCTGTTTTATTGATCTTTTGAATAGTTCTTTTGGTCTCTATGTCATTTATTTCTGCTCTGATTTTTACTATTTGCTCTGGGTTTTTCTTTTTGTTTGCTTTCTAGTTTTTTAAGTTGTGAAGTTAGATAGTCAATTAGAAATTTTTTTTGTTTCCTGAGGTAGGCCTGTAAATGCTATTTATGAATTTCCCCCTCAGGACTGCTTTTGCTGCGTCCCATAGGTTTTGTGTTGTTGTGTGTTTATTGTCATTGGTTTCCAGGAAGTTTTTAATTTCTTCTTTGATCCTCTTGGTGACTCATTTATTCTTTAAAAACATGCTATTTAGCCTCCATGTGTTTAAATGTTTTTGTTGTAACTGATTTCTAGTTTCAAGCCATTGGGATTTGAGAAGATACTTGGTATGATTTCAATCTTCTTGAACTTGTAGAGACTTAGTTTGTGTCCTAACATGTGGTCTATCTTTGAGAATGTCCCATGTGTACTTGAAAAGAATGTGAATTCTGCAGTTTTGGGGTGTAATTATCTGTAGATATCTATTATATCCATTTGATCTAGGGCATCATTTAGAATCTCTGTATCCTTGTTCCTCTTGGCTATTTTGAATAATCCTGGTATGAACATGAGTGTTCAAATATCTTTTCAACATTCTTCTTTCAATTCTTTGGATATATAACCAGTCATGGAATTGCTAGATGATATGGTAATTCTATTTTTAATTTTATGAGAAGCTGCCATGCTGGGGAAATGTAGTTTTTAAACCTGTATATAATATCCTGGGCAGACCTTTGTATACCCCATGCATGAGACCACACAGAAGATCTGATGCCTGAACATTGGTCTGGAGCACCATCCAGGTTTTAGATTGACCTCTTGGTAGCACATAATGAGAATGGCCAGAAAAACACTGTGAAGCCTTTGAAAACTAAATTGGCATTTGAACCACAGCCTACAAACATGGAACAGGACATGTGTTCTGAATCTAAACATGTGACTCTGCTAACATAGATTTAAGTAGGAACCAGAATCTCATAATATTCTAATTCTCCATGATACAATACAAAATTTTCATCATACCAAACCTACGAAAATCTCAATGTAATGAGAAAAGGCAATCAAGAGATGTTAATACCAAGTAAACAAATATTGGAATTATCTAAGAATTTCAAGCAGCTATCGTAAACTCTCTTCAACAAACAATTATGAATACCCATAAAACAAATGAAAAAAATTAGAAATACTTAACAAAGAAACAGAAAGAATAAAGAAGAACCAAACTTTAGAGAAAATGAATGATTAAAAATGTCAGCTTGGACCCAGCTGGTTTTGCTCAGTGGTTAGAGTGTTGGCCTGTGGACCAGAGTTGAGGGTTTGATTCTCAGTCAAGGGCACATATGTTGGTTGCAGTTTTGATCCCTGACCTTGGTCAGATTTCTTAAGCATAAATATTAATAACATAGGTATAATTATTTTAAACATATATTCAATTCTTTATCTTTCCACTTTGAAATGCACTTATTCACCAAGAAAACCATTATGTCATCTGGGTTGCTATTTCAAGTGTATATTTTGTGGTGGTATTTTTTTTTTTAATTGTGGTAAAATACAAAACATAAAATTTACCGTGTTAATAATTTTATATCTATAGTTCAGTGGTATTATATATATTTATCATGTGCAAACTTTATCATTCTCCATAGCTCTTTTCATCTTGTAAAACTGAAACTCTATATCCTTTAAATAATAGCTTCCCATTCCCTCCCCTCAGCCTCTGGCAACCCATTCTACTTTCTTTATATATAATTTTTACTACTTTAGGTACTCATATAAATGTAAGCATATTGTATTTGTTTTTTTCTGACTGGTTTGGGTCACTTAGCATAAACTCCTCAAAGTAGCATATTGTAGAATTTCCACCTTAAAAAGAATGAATAATATTCTATTTTGCTATTCTATTTATCAATTGGTGGACACTTGTGTTGCTTTTGCATTTTAGCTGCAATGAACAACATTATGAATGTGGTTATATAAATATCTCTTTGAGACTCTGCTTTTAATTCTTTGGTTATATATCCATAAGTGGGATTGCTGGGTCATATGGTAGTTCTATTTTTAATTTATTGATATAAATTATAATATATAAATATATAATATAATGTAATATAATATAACATAATAATTTTATATTCCATAATTTCTGTACCATCTTATGTTCCCATCAACAGTGCACAAGGATTCCAATTCCTCCACATTCTTGCCAACACATTGCTTTCTTTTTTTTTTTTTTTTTTTTTATAGTAGCCATCGTACTCGGTGTGAGGCAGTATCTCATTATAGTTTTGATTTGCATTTCCGTGGTGATCACTAATGTTGAACATATTTTCATATGCTTGTTAGCCATTCATGATTCTGTTTTTGAGAAATGTCTATTCAAGCCCTTTGCCCAATTTAGAATCAGGGTTTTTTTTGTTGTTGTTTATTTTTTGTTGTTTTTGATTTTGTTGTTGAGATATAGGGAGTTTTTTTTGTTTTTGTTTTATTTTATTCTCACCCTAAGATATATATATATATTTTGCATTTATCTTCAGATAGAGCAGAAGGAGAGAGGGAGGAAGAGAGAAAGAAAGAAACATTAATGTGAGAGAGAGACATCGACTGGTTGCCACTCACTTGACACCAGCCAGGGCTGGCGACAAACTGCAACTGAGGTATGTGCCCTTAGTGGGAACTGAACCTGGGTCTCTCTGGTGGGCTGACACTCTAAATGCTGAGCCAAACCAGCCAGGGGGAGATCTAGGAGTTTTTATGTATCCATTTATTTATGTTTTCTTTAATTTCTTTCAGCCATGTTTTCTAGTTTTTATTTTGTAAGTCTTTCACCAATTTGGTTAAGGTATTTTCTAAGTACTTTATTTTTATTTATTTTTTTAGATGCGATTGTAAATGGACTTGTCTTTGTAATTTCTTTTTCAAATTGTTCATTGTTAGTGTATAGAAATGTAACTGATTTTTGTATGTAGACTTTGTATCTTGCAACTTTGCTGAATTCATTTATTCTGTATTTTGTTTTTTAATGGGAATTTTTAGAGTTTTCTACATATAAGAAAGACCATGTCATCTGAAAACAGAGGTAATTTTTTCCATTCCAGTATGGATGCCTTTTTTTTTTTTTTTTAATTTTTCAACCACAGTTTACATTCAGTATAATTCCACACCAGTTTCAGATGTACAGCAAAGTGGCCAGAAAACCATGCATTCTAGTCCTCCTGCTGTCCCAAGCACCCACCTGGCCCCATACCTTGTATTATTGACTATATTCTCCATGTTTCAATCTACATCTCTGTGGCTATTCTACAACTACAAATTTGTACTGCTTAATCCCTTCACCCTTTTCACCCATTCCCTCCATGCCTCCACACAGCTGTCAGTCTGTTCTTTGTATCTATGAATCTGTTTCTTTTTTGTTTGTTTGTTTATATTGTTCATTAGATTCAACATAAGGGAAATCATGTTATTTGTCTTTCTCTGACTGGCATATTTCACCTAGCATAATACCCTTTAGGTTCACAGTTTAGATGCCTCTTATTTCTCTATGTTGCCTAATTGCTCTGACTAGATCTTCTACCACTATGAACAGAAGTGGCAAAAGCAGATATTCTTGCCTTGTTCCTAATATTAGGAGAAAAGCTTTTAACCTTTTACTACTGAATATGATGTTCACTGTGGATTTTTCATAAATATCTTTTATTATGTTGGGGTAGTTTTCTTATGAGTTTGTGAGGTTTTGTGTGTGTGTTTTTTTTAATCATGAAAGAGTGTTGAATTTTGTCAGATACTTTTCTGCATCAATTTAGATAATCATATGATTTCTTTCCCCTTCATGGTGTTAATGTAGTGTGTTAAATTAATGGATTTTGGTATGTCGAACCATCTTTTTACTTCAGGTATAAATCCCACTTGGTCATGGTGTATAATCCTTTTAATACAATGCTGAATTCTGTTTGTTAGTATTTTGTTGAGGATTTTTGCATCAATTTAATAAGGCATATTAGTCTGTAGTTTTATTTTCTTGTAGTGAGTTTGGTGTCGTGGTATCCTTAAGACTCTGTTTACCTTGTGCAATCTTGTCTCAGACTCAATAATGTATATTGTTCTCTCTTCAAGTTCATTGATTCTTTCTTCTGCCTGCTTAAATCTGCCTTTCAATTCCTCTAGTAAGTTTTTTAATTTCAATTATTGTACATTTTAGTTCCAGAATTTCTTTTTTGTATTTTATATCTCTTTATTAATATTTCAATTTTGTTCACATTTTTTTCTTGATTTTATCCACATCTTTCTTTACTTGAGTGTCTTTAAGACAGTTGTTTTAAAGTATTTGCCCTGGCTAATCATTTGTAATATTTAGCTAATTTTTTAAATGACTGATAGGAAGTTTAGGTGGAGATGTTTCCAAAACAGGGGGCTACAGGTGACTAGTTGAGAGGGAGGTAATCTAGGACTTTCTGATGGGAAATAACACAAAACATAAGAGAAAACCCCCTCCCCTCTGGCCACCATCAGATGTTCACTGTTTCTATGAGTCTGTTTCAATGTTGTTTGTTTGTTTATTTTGGTCTTTAGATTCCACATATAAGTGAAATCATATGGTATTTATTTTTCTCTGACTGACTTATTTCCCTTAGCATTCACTTTATTATTTTCACTTAGCATTCACTTTATTATTACAAAGACTTGTGACCTTTGATGGGCTTTTTGAGAACACTGTCTGCCAAGGTGGCTGGGTTCAACCTATCTACCCCTTCCTATCTTTTTTCCCTTGGCCTGCAGTTTTGATGGAGTGCCTTTTCTCATGCATGACTATGACCTGAGAAGAACAACCAATATCAAGGAGGTCATACTAAATGATTCTATTGTACCAGGTTCCATGTACTATTGGGATTTTCTGTCAACTCTGAATGCTGGCAAATGGTTTGTACAACCACAGGTAAGACATATTCTCTACCTCAACAATCCTGCATTGATTCTATTTTCTGTACAAAGTCATGTGCTGCTTCTGGAGATAAAGGCTTTTGATGAAGATAGTCAAGCATTCACATAATTTCATTCCAATTTGGTAGCAGGATTATAGCACTGGCAGAAGGGCTATTCCAGTAATGCAGTCAGTTTAATTACTGATTTCTATAGTCTATGGAAATTCTGAAGACAAACTTTTGATTTTACTACTGCCATTTAATTCCTTTTTCTTTTTTATCCTCACCCGAGGACATTTTTCCATTTTTTGTTCAGATTGAGTAGGAGGGAGAGAGAGGAAGAAAGAGAGAGAGAGAGAGAGAGAGAGAGAGAGAGAGAGAGAGAGAGAGAGAAACATTGACGTGAATGGGACACATCGAGTGGCTGCCACCCACACAACCCCAACCAGGAGGGCTGGGGACAAACTGCAACCAAGGTACGTGCCTTAGCGGGAACTAAACCCGGGTCTCTCTAGACTGCAGGTCAACGCCCCAACTGCTGAGCCAAACCAGCCAGGGCCATTTAATTCCTTTTTATCCAAGCAATTCATAAACTTTTACAGTGTGCCTACCATGTATATTACATTTTACTGGGCATTTTGAGTAGTTTACAATCATAGATTTAAAAAATATTTATTGAGTACCTATTGGGTACTAGATACAAGGAATACGATGATGAAGAAACAACACCCAGCCTTAAAGGAGTTCACTGGCTAGCATATGAAAAAGTCAATTACACTACAGTGTGATAAATGCTAAACTAGAGTCGATTTCAGGTTGCTAATTTCTGTTCTATAACTCACCAAGTTTTCAGTAATTTATTATAGCAGCTGTTGGAAACTAATACAGTCAGTACAACACATCTTTATATTCTCCTCAGTTATTTCTATACCTAAACAGTTTGAACTTTTGTTCTATTCATAGGAATAACTCATGGTTTTCAATTTTTGAGTCTTTTTAGGAATTTATATACCATAATGCTATAATAGCAAGTGTAACATGTACAAAGAAATATGATTGGGAATTAGACTGATTTATATAATCAAGTTGAGTCACAATCTTTAATTATAATTATGGCACTCCTCCACTGTCTGTCTGTCTGTCCATGTGTCTGTCCATTTATCCATCCATCCATCCATCCATCCATCCATCCATCCATCCATCCATCTATATCAATTGATAGCAGTCTAACATCTGTTAAGGCTGTTGATTAGAATACTTATTTATTTTTTAATCAAATTCACTTTAGACCCATTAATTTCAAATTTGCTAGAAGCTAGCAAGAGATGGTATGTTCAGCGTATTTTCTTTTCCTTTTTTTTTTTTTCGGGTGCGTGCCCCTAGCGGGAACTGAACCTAGGACTCTCTGGTCTGCAGGCCAACGCTCCAACCACTGAGCCAAACTGGCCAGGGCAAAATTTTATTTTTTATTTAAAGTTTACATTCAGTATTATTTTGTATTAGTTTCAGGTGTACACATGGGGGTTAGATGATCATATACTTTACAAAGTGTTCTCCCTGATATTTCTAGTACCCACCTGGCACCTTACATAGTTATGATAATATTATTGACTATATTCTCTGTGCTATACTTTATATCCCCTTATTATTTTATAACTACCACTCTGTACTTCTTTCTTCTTTACCTCTTTCACTCAGTCCCCCCTCCCCACTGGCTACCATCAGTTGTTCACTGTATCTATGAGTCTGTTTCAATTTTGTTTGTTTGTGTATTTTGTTCTTTAGATTTCCCATATAAGTGAAATCATATAGTATTCTCTGACTGACTTATTTTACTTAGCATAATATCCTCTAGGTCCATCCATGCTGTCACAAATAGTAATATTTCATTATTTTTTATGACCAAGTAATATTCCATTATACATATGTACCACAGCTTTTTTTTCATTTCATTTTATTTTTTATTATTTTATTTTTGTTACAGATGTTTCTCCTTTTATTCCCCATTGACACCCTCCTCCCTATCCCCAGCTTTGTTGTCCATGTCCATTGGTTATGTGTACATGCATATAAGTTCTGTGGTTTATCTCTTCCCTCCCCCCACTACCCCCTCTTCTGAGGGTTGTCAGTCTGTACCCTACTTTCATGTCTCTGGGTCTATCCATTCCTCAGACTGTTACGTTCATTATATTCCACAAATAAGTGAGATCATGTGATATTTGTCTTTCTCTGCTTGGCTTGTTTCACTGAAGATAATACTTTCCAGGTCCCTCCATGTCGTCTCAAAAGATAAGAGATTTTTCTTTCTTACAGCTGCATAGTACTCCATTGTGTATATGTACCACAACTTTTTTATCCATTCGTCTACTGATGGACACTTGGGCTTTTTCCAGATCTTAGCTATTGTAAATAGTGCTGCTATAAAAATGGGGGTAATATACCTACAGCTTTTTTTATCTGCTTGTGTATTGATAGGCACTTGGGTTGCTTCCATAGCTTGGCTATTGTAAATAATTCTGCTATGAACATAGGGGTACATATATGCTTCGAATTAGTGTTTTGGGTCTCTCTGAAACCCAAAGTGGAGTTGATCGCCCAGCATATTTTCAAGTTGTCTACACTAGTAAAAGTTTGGTAGAGCTGAGTTATAGTTACAGTGATGGTTGTCTAGAATATCCTAGAGTTGGGCAAATGATTGTTTTAAGTAAGAGGAACATGATCAGCTAAATCAGCAGTGTATAATCTGAAGTCAATGAAAACAAAAGTATGACTACAAGATAAAGAACAAAAGCATTCAAAGGTAAGTTTGGGATTTATCAGAATTTTTTCCTATTGTGCTTTAAAAAAACATATCTTTATTGTTGAAAGTATTACAGATGTCTCCCCCACTACCCTCCCATTGACCCCCTCCACCCCTCTCCCTGCCCAGGCCTTCACCACACGATTGTCTGTGTTCATCGGTTATGCATGTAAAAGTCTTTGGTTAATCTTTTCCTGCCCCTACCTCCCCACTTCCCTCTGAGATTTGTCAATCTGTTCCTGTTGCTTTCTGATGACAGCTGTTCTACTTCATGTAGTTGTTTGCTAGTTATAAGGACCTTGGGTTAGCTGTTGACTCCTAGTGGTTCTCTGGAGAACCTAGGGTTTTGATTGTACCTTTTCAATTCTTATAGATGGGTGATGTCACTTTAGTTGGGAAATATGTACCCAAGGATCAATTCCTTCTACTTTAACTGCTCTACTGGAGTTTAGACTATCTGATACGGTCTTTTGCAGTGATGTTCAAGGGCAGTCTTTCTACGAGGTATTTTCCAGCCTGTTTTTGTTAATAACAGGACTGAGATATCTTGGCTAATCCTTTGTAATCTTTAGCTAATTTTTTTAATGAGTGATATGAAGTTTGGGTGGAGATATTCCCAAAACATGGGGCTATAAGTGACTAGTTGATAGGGAGGTAATTTAAGACTTACTGATGGGAAAGAACACAAAACATTAGAGAAAAAGGGCAATCCTTGGGGGCATGAAATTTTAAGGGTATTTTATAGTTTGGCTCATTTCAGTTTTCACATTTCATATATTCTTCCCACTTTTCAAGATTATGATGTATATAAGGACAGGAGATATTTTAATAAGGAGCAAAGTTTTGCACAATTTAAAATAAATAATGTAGGTAAATGTTTTCCCCTACCACAGTATAGTAAGTTAGAATAGCTTAAGTAGAGAACACAAATATATAATAATATTTTAAAGCCATTTTAAGTTGCATTTACTATTTAATGGGGAAATGCTTTAGCCTGCCCATAAAATAAACACACAATTACTAGTACAAATTTATTACCCACAGAGGGAAGAAACTGCACAAAATCTGTTTTGAGAGGTCCCTATGGGCAAGGTTCCATTCCATGTCTCACTTTTACAGTTTTTTTCAGGATTATGTTGGTTATAGATGAAGGAAATCTGGTCACATTTTCTGATATCTTAGAAAAGTTGCCCCATCAGTGTTTGTTTAATACTGCAATCAATTTATCCCTTCTGTGATAAATTATGTCATGGAGGATTTGTTTAATACTGCAATCAATTTATCCCTTCTGTGATAAATTACGTCAAGTATCTATTTGAGCTTAATTGGTGCTACCAGGTGGCCATCATGAATCTGACAACCTAATTAGTTCTAGTGCTTCTTTTCAAAATTGGGGACCACATTTGGTGCATTAAATGGTACAATTCTTGAACTCCATAGATTTGTCTTTCTTCTCTATACGAGGCCCTTCCCTAAGAACTTTAGTCGAGCATGTTATTCAGCATGATGATCTGCTCAAGCATTTCCTCTCATGTCTTTTTCACTGTGGACCTCTACCTTTAGGACCACAATTTATTTGGGAAGCTTCAAGGCATCAGTAATTTGTGTATTTATTATTTATTTTTAATACAGATAACTAAAGAGGTTAAAATCTTTTTTTTTCCCCTCCATAGCATCTTAAAGTTGTGAACTACTTCAAAATCAAACAAGCAATCAGTATATATAGTTACCCTTTTATTTTTAGCAATCTCATATCCCCTAGGGAGGGCAATATTTTGGCTGCTTGAGCCAATTTCATATCTGGTAATAGATTCACGATTCTATAAGAAAATCTAGAAAAATTATTGCATTATCAACCTATTATTATTTATTTTTATTTTGAAAATAAAACCTGTCAAGAAACAATATTAAATCAAGATTTTATATAGGAGTGCCCAAAAGAACTGTTCCAGGCATGGAGAGTTATCAAACTACATAAATCGTGACAGTTTCCTTCACTGGTAAGGGTAATATAGTTACTGTATTGAATGTTACATTGGTGAAGGGTCATATGAGAAAGAGAATGTAGCTGTATGGTAATTAATCAACTAACATAAAAATATTGGGTATTTTCAGTTAACAATAGAGATTGCATTAAATGTAGTACCATAAAATAAGAACGTGAACCTACAATAGGATTTGAAGATTCTTAGACTAATTTAGCCAAGACTGCAT